TTTCAAATGAACAAATATGTTTATGCTGGTACAGGTTGGATATACACCAGACTATCTGTTCTTGCTGCAAACTATTCTCCGATGAGATCCTCAGGTATGCTTGAAATACAACTTACCTTATAGTATTTTTAGTAATTCTCCTTTATTCAAATGTCATATAACATTGTATCCTTTGCCTATTTGCATCACTTCTCTGTTTAGTACTCGGTTCAAGTTTCCCTTTCCCTGCTTCTCTTTTATGTGGGTAAGGGAGGTGGGGAGGATATGTGGCAGGTTCGGAATATCAAAATGATCGCTCCTTAAAGTTGAGTGAGTAGTAAAGAAAAGGAAAAGGTTAAGACAAGTGTAACTGAGAATTAAACAGTTGATAATAGACTTTTTTTTTAAAAGAAAGAACATGTAAAATCTACTCTTATGTAGCTGATTTTTCAAGTGAGCAAGTTGATTGTTGAACTTGTAATGGATTTTAATTTTTTAGTTTTCATCCATGTAACTCAATTAGAGGACGAATTTTCGATTTTCGCTTTTGAATGGACCAGTCCAATCCAATTTTTATAACATTGGTTAAATGTGGTATTATAATAAAGTTCAATAAAATTTTGGCGGGCTTCTTGATTATTCATATCTTTGGCATGCAGTATGGCCTTTAGGATCTATAGTTAATTAGAGTGGCTGGATTGGGTGAACGGGTTATGTTTCTGTACCCACGTCATTGGAATAGGTAGCTTGTCATACCTCATGACTTGAGAACCTGTAGTGTCCATGATACATGTTAAGTAAGCTATTGCATTTGCTAGGCAATCTCATGATGCCAAGCTCTTAACACGTTGAGTTGTCAATTCGTACTTTTTTCATTGCATGGAAACTAATTGGCTTCGAGTCAATTTTTTGGTTCATCTCCAGCATGACCAAAAAATGGCAATTTATTTTCAGAGAAAGGTTCGCAAACTGGGTTTTCCATGGAAGAAACTGAGGTGTTTAAGGTTTTCTTACTGTAAAAAATGTTGGTTCCTTCACAGTGAAACTTACTGCAAAACTGATTCGAAGAATAGACCTGGAAGCGATGGCAGAAAATTCTGTAAGATGATTCCTACTAGACGTACTTTTAATGTACATATATATTTATTAAATCTCACATGGAAATATATGCAGGTTATATATATTTTTAGTGGCAAATTCTGCAAATTTAAGGTAAACCTTAACATTAGAGCCAAGTATAGAAATAAAATAAAATACGATTCAAGTTCCTTTTAATTTTGATAAGAATCAACTCATTTATTTAATTGTCACTTTTACTTTAGGTCATGGATAACATCGTTTCTTGCTAACTCAATTCATATATATACTTGGCAAATTTCGACTTCAAAATGATGATTTTTATAGTGCAGCTAATCTAATTTCTTCCTACAGTAGACTGTTCTGTATACTTTTGTTTAAATTCAATAGGTGTACTAGAAATTACTCCAAATTTTCGTATCATATAAATGAAGAAGTAGATAGTGAAATATGAATGACAACTACATTGAGCTGAAGAAGACTCTCTCATAGCTCTTACTTTTTCAGTTCAATAATATTTTCAAATTTAACGAACCATATTTGCCTTGACATTGTAGGAAAAAAAGAAAAAATAGTTACTCATACTCTCTACACTACTGTCCTGAACTATAGCAGCTTTTTCAGAAACAAATTTTGGGCTGAAAACTGTAAGAGACTTTTTAAGCTTTTCTACTGACAAAAGTTAGTAGGTATGGACTTTTACCCTACTCATCTTCACATGTCAAATCCTTTATCTCACAAATACATACAACATTATTAATATATATATATATTTCCTTCATCCTTCAGGTAAATATATATGAAAACATCACAGAAAAAACAATACTTTTTTACACACCAGATTTTCCTACTTTCTCATTATTAATCAAGTTTATTTCTTCTTTGTTTCAGCCTTAATAATATGACAGCAAACTTTAAGTTCATTCCACAGATTAATCCAAATGAAAGGTACTGGCAAACAAAGGTGATTGTTGTGGAAAGATTCTCACCAAAACAGGCAAGACATAGTATCAGCAGGTATCAATACATGGTGTTAATGGATCTTCAGGTAAACATCTTTTCTTTCATTAAATAAATCTAATTTATAACTCTTCTACTTCTATAAAGATATCTAAAACACAATCATTTGTTTTAATTACCATTGAAAATGACCACAGGGGAGCACAGTGCACACTACCCTACATGATGCCAATATTGCAGCCTTCGAAGATTAGCTCCAACTAGACAAAACATATGTTATTTCAAATGCTCTTGTTAAAGACACAAAGCCTGAGTACAGAGCATCAAATGGTAATATCCAATGGATAGTATCTGGGAAGACACACATTCAGGAAGTGGATGAAAACCACATGGAATTCTTGTTTTCCACATTCAATTTGACCTCTTTTCCAGAACTGGAAAAACATATGGATTCCAACAGTGATATAAGTAATTCCTAACCAATCATTTCTTCAACATTTTTACATCTTACATGTTTTTACTTCATGTAATTGTAAAACACAAATGCACATAATTATTAACTTTTAAACAGAGCTTTTAATACATAACTTCTTACAAGTATACTTGCAGTGGCTATTGACATACGGTCAAAAAGACTCATTCAGACTCGGTTTGGAAACTAGACTTATGTACAAGATATTTTTCTCATAGATAAATCCTTCCACACAATCATTTTAACAATGTACGATACCTATGTGGAAAAGGAATGTGTTCTAATTGCAGAAAACATTGCCAAAAAAC